TTTTTGAATGTTTCCCCTACACCAAGCTTATGAAAACATTTTCCTATATTATTTTCCAGACACTTCATCGTGTTACCTTTCACATTAGATTTACAAATTACCTGTAGCAGATTTTTGTATATAGGAGAGTTAGGGGGTTAAATGTCATTTTTGTCCCCATATAGATATCTGGTAACCCATCCACATTTACTTGAAAATATCATCCTGTCACCACTGTTTTGCAGTTTCAACTTTATCATAACTCAGGTGTCCGTACATATTTGGATTATCTTTTTAGTTCTACTGGACTATATGTCTATCTGTCTATCCTTGTGCTAATGCCACATTGTCTTAAATATTCTGTTATTTAATGTAATAGTTTCTCTACCATGACTTGTGATTTTTTTTCCCACAAAGTAGGTCACTAACTTGATAGTTATCCTGTATTAAATTATCATCATGAACTGGGAACCCAGTCAGAAGTTCCCCTATATTCATTCCATCCTTATCACCCAGTGGTAAGCATATTAGAATAAAAGAATGTGCAATTATAGGGACTCATGACATTTGAGGATGTGGCTGTGGATTTCACCCAGGAGGAGTGGCAATACCTGAACCCTCCACAGAGGAACCTGTACAGAGATGTGATGCTGGAGACCTACAGCAACCTGGTCTCTGTGGGTAAGAATGGCTTCCTCAGGTAATTTTGCTGTTTATGATTATTCTGTCCAATAGAACGCCTTTCCTTTCTCAAGTTTGGAAACTTCCAAGGCCTCTGAACTGATTGAAGAGTTTGTCATTAAATTCCATGGATCAGAGTTCCTTTTCCCCCTTTGCTTTCCTGACAAGGTGTTTGTGAACTCAAAACTCAGGTGAATTGGTTTGACGACCATTGTGTCAAGTGATGTATTGCTTGTACTGCCCCAAACTCCACCTTCCTTTTCCTCAGAGGCTCTGAAGACCAAGGAGGTATTGCTGTCATTTCTCATTAGCAGGGCAGCAGGTTACCAAACCAGATCTCATCCTTAAATTGGAGGTAGAAGAGCCATGCCTGCCAGAAGGAAAAATCCCAATTTGGAGCTTTCCAGGTAAGTGGGATTGACTCAGGCTATGGGGACAGGAGGTCCAGCTTGTCAGTCAGGGGTGAGGACCTGTGAAAGGACTTTCAGGAATATCTCAGGAATGGTTGTTGGAAGACAGGGACATGAACACCTAAGACACCCCCTCCCCTATCCTACACCCACCAGACCACTCTCCTTAGGTTGGTGCTCACCGATAAGTTTCTGCACAGCTCCATTTCCCTGTATAAAGCTGTCTTGTAAATGACAGTCCCCTGGCCCCACGCCCTGCCACTTCTATCGTTCTTACCTCCCACTGCTCATCTGAAGCCAGGCCCATATGAGTCACAGGCCTAGGCACTAATGCTGTAATTCCAGATTGGATTACCTGATTCCATCCAGTTTAGACATTCCTATCAGATTTGTTCTCCTAAAGCATCTTGATTCTCTCTTTAACAACAGCTTTATTAAGATATAATTAACATACAATAAAATTCACTCTTTTGGAATGAAACTCAAAAACTCAGGATGTTTAGAATATTCACAGAATATACTGTCTAACCATCACCACTATCTAATTCTAGAACATTATCATCATCCTCCAAAGAAACTCCTATCCCTTATCAGTCACTCTCCATTCCCCAACCCCCATCCCCCAACAAGCACTAATCTACTTTCTATCTCTATAGTTTTGCCTATTCTGGACATTTCTTATAAATGGAACCATACAAAATGTGGAATTTTATGTCTGGTTTCTTTCATTTGGCATGTTTTCAAGGTTTGTCCATACTGTAGCATGTGTCATCACTTTTTATGGTGGAATGATATTTCATTGTATGGATATTCCACATTTTGTTTATCCATTCATCTGTTGATGGACATTTAGGTTATTTCCACTTTTTGGGTATTATAGATAATACTGCTATGAACATTCATGTAGAAGTTTTGAAATGTACATTTTCATTTCTTTTGAGAACATACATAGAAGTGGAGTTGTTAGACCATGTGATAGCTGTTTGTGTTAACATTTTGTGGAACTGCCAAACTGTGTGAATATCCTGTTCCTCCAAAATTTTTACCCAGTGGTTTTAACGTTCACTGATGACTCTTGCCTGAATCAGTTATTACTAAGATGGTTAGAAAAATGGTGCATTTTCTATCATTCCTTCTACATTTGTAAGTTGGCATTTTTCTGTAAAGAATTTTCCTTCTTTGTTGATTAGCTGGAATACTTCAATAAAGAGGGATTGCCCTCCATCTATTACAGTTGACCCTTGAACAACACAGGTTTGAACTGTGCAAGTCCACTTATATGCGTTTTTCAATGGTAATGGTACAGTGCTAGATGATCTGTGGTTGGTTAAATCCATGGATGTGGGACCGCAGACTAGGAGGAGAAACTACCTATATGGAGGGCCAACTATAAGTTACAATTGGATTTTCAACTGTGCAGAAGGTCAGTGCCCCTAACCCCTGCATTGTTCAAGGGTCAACTGTATTTGGTTATATATGAGTTACATGTATTTTTCCATTTCTTTATCAGTTTTCAAAATGAGTTGGTTTTGTAGCATCATTCAAAGCCTAGTATGTCTTTTTGGAGTATCATTTATGGACTTATGGATTTAAACACTTATGTTTTGATCCATTGCCTTATCCTTATTATAAATCAAACTGCTCTATCTCTGGCCAGTGAAAACCCCTTCAAGTTGGGTCCCTAGTCTTTGGTAGCTTCCTTGCTTTCTGTTGTTACAAGATGTTCCAGGCTCATATTATACAGTTCCTTTCTCTGCCCTGGAATCAGCTATTTCTCCAAGGAGCCTTGGTTCTTTTTAGTGGTAAATAATGTTTTGTGACCACAATTTGGATGTTAGGGAATTGTTTCTAGGCCTTTTCATTGACATAGCTAGGAACTACGTAAACAAAGATTTTTAAGAGAAAGACATGTATTCAAATGTATATTTCCAAATCAAATTCTGGACTTGAAGGTTTTTAATTTATTAATCTTACATCTGATGGTAATATTGTTAATATTATTCTGAGACTGCTGAATGTGTATAGTGGGTTGAATCAATTGAGGTAATCATGTTGGTGCCATTGAGAATCAAGACTTTTTAGCATGATTGTTAGGAAATACAGATGAGGGGATATTTATTACTATTAGGGAATCCTTTTATTTTCGATTTTGCTTTATGAATATATAAAATATTTGCAAAATATTAACTTGGTTCCAAAATCAAACCTAGAAAATAAAATCAAACCTAGAAAACAAGGTATATTCAAAGAAGTCCAGCCTCTTTC